AACTGAAAAAGAGGTAAAAAACGCCATTTTCTCTTTCAGTCCTGGTCCTCCGGTGGTATCGATTCCCTTAGACCACGCCACCTCAAAGATTTGGTAGGTTCCGCCTAATTTTTTATGACGCCAACCTTTGCGCTTTTAACAAAAAAGTGGATGTATACGTCCTATTGCAGTTGGACTTCGCCTTCGTCGTCTAGCAGCTAAAATAATTTGCTCTCGAGTTTATGATAAACTAGGAAGCCTTTTTAGACGTTTTTAGTTAAGATTTGGAACGAAATGTGAAATGTGGTAAGGAAGCGGCTGCCCGTGCAAGGCGGAGGTACCTCCATTTTCGTCATTATCTTTTGATGAAATTATTTTAAAAATTGACTATCAAAATGCTTTCAACATAGTAAATAGAAACACAATTTTATTGAAAGTCAAAGAATATCTTCCTGGATATTTTCATTTTATCTATCAATGTTATAGCGATAAAACTTTTCTTTCATATGGCAAAGAATAGTAGGTATATTGTTTTATTAGGAGTAAAAGTGCTTTCCTCCGAATAAAACATGCGATTTTTTCCGCAAACGGTATTCAAACGATGGAATCAAGGAAAAAAATATTGTCAACAAGGATCAGAGGTGTAGAAAAACGTAAAATTACATTGCTCTGCTTGTTGGTTTTGTGGTTGTCAAGATTAAATTTCGGCCGGACAAAAAAGTGACATCACAGAAATTTACCCTTCATTCTATCGTTTGAACACCGTTTGAAGAAAAAAATCGCATGTTTTATTCCAAGAAAAGCACTTTTTGTGGCTTGTCTAAAATTGTCAAACATTAAGTCTCGCCACAAAAAGTATAATTTTTACTCCTATCTCCTGATAAAACAATATACTATTTCAACTTCTGTAAATAGTGTAAAATATGTGAAAATGTATAGTAAAAATCTTTGACTCCTTTTTCTGTTTTGACAACTTGTCAAAAAAAAAATCACGTTGTGATTTTTTTAAATTTTCGATTGTAGTCTTCTACGGTTGTGTATGCCCCTTCAAAAATACCTAAGAATGTTCGCCACTACTACCAGTAATTAACCAAAATTAATTTTGTATAATGTTCGGCCGTCTGACTGTCTCAAAAAAATTAAAAACACTAAAAAAGTCGTAATATTTGCAAATTTTCGATTTTAGTCTCTACACGGTTCTGTGTGCTACTTTGAAAATAGCTACAAATGTAAGCTACTACTCCTAGCAATCAACCAAAATTGAAAATTAAAAAGCCTGAAAAAGTCGTGATTTTTGTCAATTTTCGCTGGTGGTCTCTACACGGCTGTGTATGTTATTTTGAAAACAGCTATAAATATAAATGTAAGCTACTACTCTTAGCAATCAACCAAAATTAATTTTGTGTAATGCTCCGCCGTCTGAGTGTCTCAAAAAAATTAAAAACACTAAAAAAGTCGTCATTTTTGTGAATTTTCGATTGTAGTCTCTACATCTACACGGTGGTGTGTGCTACTTTAAAAATAGCTACAAATGTTAGCTACTACTCCTAGCAATCAACCAAAATTGAAAATTGAGAACCCTAAAAAAAAAAGATGTATGTAAATTTTCAATTGCAGTCTCTACACGGTTGAGTGTGCCGCACTCTGAAAATAGCTATAAATGTTAGCTACTACTACCAGCAATTGGTCAATGTCAATTTTATGTAATGCCCCGGCGTCTGAGTGTCTCAAAAAAAAAAAAACTAAAAAAGTCGTGATTTTTGTCAATTTTCGATTGTAGTCTTCACACAGTTGTGTGTGCAACTTCGAAAAAAGCTGAAAATATTGGCTACTACTACCAGCAATGAATCAAAATTAATAATTTTGATTAATACCGTCTAATTGTCATTTCCACCAAACTATAACTAAGCTTTGCTTAACTATGAAGCCCTTAAAAGTTAAGGGACACTCAAATATAATTTCGTTCCACCATAGTTTTTAAGTGTAAGCTTAGCTAAGTGTCGTTAAGCTTTGGCAACATTGCATTTCAGGTGAAAGATTTGCCTACTTTTCATTTTGACACTAGTCGTGTCAATGTTATCTGTCATTCGACGCTTCCCGCTAATTTTTCAAGATTATAAATATTAATAATAATAGTTGTTGCTGTTGTCCCAGGTTCGGTTTATTTCACAGAGAAGAGGTTTAGATATTGGTAGTTTATCCTGCATTGTGTGTGAACGAACACGAAAGTGCCTAGAGCAGCGTGGAGTCGGGGAATAGAAACAAGCAGGGAGAGTTTGTAGCATTTTTAGATTTTTGCTCTAAAAACACTACAGTTTTGGATTATTGTTTCTGTGATGTTAGTTTGGAATTTTGATCACTCGGACATTTTTCGTCAAGGGATTTATTAATACATATACTTAGTACATTTTTGGATTTTATCCTTCCTTAATAAGTCATTTACATTATGTTTAATTCTCTACAAAATATCTATCATAGCACAAGTCCTATGTTACAACATTTAGCTGGAGGCTTTGACTCCCCAAGTCCTTTGTCATTCATAATTTCGAACATTGTATTTTGTAGTATGTACCTTCCTTCTAGTTCTTTTTGTAGGTGGATTGACGGCCGCTTTCTATCTGTAGACAAGAGCTAGAATACAAAAGGAATGACCTTTGTGTCATTGGGCTATGTTCATATTCAATCAAATGATTCTCGAAATGATTCTAGCTTACCTTTCGCTTATGCTATAGTGATAATTCTGTGTTTGTTTTTCTAATTTCAGGTTGTTTGTTTACCTTTCTGTTTTTTGAATTGGTTAGGTTGGACGTCAACATTTATTCTTCTTTTTTGAACTACTTAGGCATAGGTGCTTTCGTGAGGTAGTCCCTTCGCTCTAGCTCCGTTCCAAGGTGGTTCGGTACAGCTCGAATATTTTTATCGTTCCCTCGTGAACACACCTGTGGTGTCATATGTCAAGTCAATACCTCCCTTATGGAATTTCTTTTTTACTTTTTCCGGTATCAAGAAATCTTCCTCGTGGCGTGGGCCTTCTTCCAACTTCTTTCTTTTTCGTGCTGGCACTGGGACAAGAAGTCACGAACAGAATTTTCTGTGCCTTTGAGTCTCATTCAAATAATATTTGAAATTTGGTACGAGCTCACAATAGGCCTGAATTTCTTTCGCTTGTGTGGTAAGTTGAATTCTTCTTAAAATGTTCTTGCCCAAAATACACGTGTCCCTTTTATTTTCAAGGTACGAAATCAGTTGGTTCCGTCTGGGAAGACTCCCCTATCAGTATTTTGTGTTCAGCAACCCTCGTAGAGGTAAGGTTTAATTATATTTCTGTGCACTTATTTACACAACTGTGGTTGTAGGGTTTTTGGGTCTAGTCCGAAGCCCACGTTTTTGGGTCTAGTCCGAAGCCCACGTTTTTGGGTCTAGTCCGAAGCCCACGTTTTTGGGTCCAGTCCTAAGATCACGTTTTGGTTCAAACATAAGTTCAGGCTCCGGGATCAGTTCAGGTGCAGGCCTAAGTCCGGAACCTGGATCAAATTCTGCGACCTAGTTCAGTCCGTGTGCACCCAATTTGTATTTGGTTGGTGTCCAAGTCTTGAGGCTGAGCTTTCCTCTACAAGACATTGGCGATAGCCCACTCTATTGGAGGAAACCTAGCCCTGGAGTGTGCCCCAATTTTTATTGATTTAAAAAAGAAGACAATTATGGTTCAGAAATTAAATAACGAGTATCAAGAGTAAGTTACACATGTACTATTGTCTTAGCAAATTATCTGGTAAATCAACAAACCTTTAGTGAATTTTATATTATTAAATCCTTTGCGGCAGAACAAAGTTCCGGAATTTTCCCCCTGCAGGCGCCCGTCACAATTTAATAAATCATAGACTGTCATTCGACAGTAAATATTAATTTGCTAGCGATTACCCGTGTACCTACTTACCCTCTTACCATTTCATATAATTAATTGACCGTAACCTTGATGTTTTTTTATGAACTATTAAATTCCTTGTTAATGTTGAATACTATATAGAATTTCCAGACTTTAACGTTTGCTCCTCAAGCATCCAATATCAATATATATTCAAAATGTATTGACAAGTATTAAAAATTCAATAGATAAATTAAACTTGAAACATTATAAGTTTGTTTTATTGAGGGAACTTTTTAGCTGCTCCATTTCAGCTTATAGAACTTTGATAACTTTCCTAGTTGAGACTCAGTTAACTAGGTGGCGCCCAGGATAAGGGTGTACCAAGACTCATGAACCCATAGCTCTCCGAATTAATTACTAGCTGCCGTATGCCTGTTAGCCAAGTTCTGGATTTTATCCAAATTTACGCTACAAGTTTATCCAAAAAAAGCCGGAAACCAAACTAAATAGTAAAGGAAAAAGAGCTGATAATTATCGTTAACATCAAAAAATAAGAACATATTCGAAAATTTAAAAAAAAAAACACCGTACAGTAGGGTAAACTGGTCCATAGTGGGACGCGGTCCATAGTGGGAATTTCACTCTCCTGGCCATTTTTTCGTCGCGGTAGAGCTATGTTTCAGTGTGTGTGCTATCATAACAGTGCCGCCTCTGAATATCTTATTGTTTTTTCAATTGGTACAGTGCGTTTCGATGTATTGAAAATTCAGGTAAGTGATTAACTGAAAATTTTTATTTCCATGTTCAGTTTTTTTCGAATATTCCGCCGAAATGTATCCTTTTTAACAAGAATTTGGTATGGATATTTAAAACATACATAACCTCAATATTGTATAATTCTGTTTATACATAGCTCTACCACTTTGATAAAATTTTTGGTCATTTGTATTTTGATGCACAGTGGTCCATAGTGGGAAAAAATAAGCGGTCTATACTGGGATGTGATAAAATAATGCGGTCCATGCCGAAATATGCAAAAACATGCTAAAAATTCTCATTCTTTGCAGAATTGAATATACCGAGACATCCAAGATCCCAACTGTCAGCACTTTTTGAAAAAAGCAGAGAGGATCATGAAGTATATGCAAGGTCTATGCATTCTGCAGTGAAAGATGTTGTAGAAAACCAAATGACATTGATGAGTGCATCCAAAAAGCATGGTGTAAGCAAGTCAGCTCTACAGCGGAAAGTGAAAAAGTTTAAATTAGCTAATGAAGAACATGAAGAAAATACAAATGATTTTGAATTCGGACGAAGCCATGGTTTCAAACTCATATTTACCAGTGCCGAAAAGCAGCTATTAAGCGAGTATATAATTGAAGCTTGTGAAATGTGCTACGGCTTAACATTATTGAATACTCGTGAATTAGCTTACAAGTATGCCATTACTAATAATAAAACGGTGCCTCGAGCTTGGCAAGAGAAGAAACGAGCTGGAGTCGAATGGATGAATAATTTTAGGAAACGACACCCTATGTTATCGCTTCGAAAACCAGAAGCAACTAGCCTTGGTAGGGCGACCAGATTCAACAAGCATAATGTGGCTACATTTTTCAACAACTTGAAAAATGTGATAACGAAACATAATATCCAGTCGAACCAAATATACAATTGTGATGAGACTGGTGTCACTAATGTGCATAAACCCGGGAAGGTACTTGCTAACATTAAACAAAAACAAATTGGAAAAGTGACAAGTGCTGAACGAGGCACATTAATAACAATGTGCACCGCAATATGCGCTAATGGGACTTATGTGCCTCCATTCTTTGTATTCCCAAGGAAAATATTTAAGCCTTTCATGCTTAGTGGAGCTCCTCTAGGATCAGACGGCTCAGCTTATCCCTCTGGTTGGATGACAGGAGACAATTTTTTGAAGTATATAGAGCACTTTATCAAACACGTGCGATGCAGTAAAGAATTCCAAGTTCTATTAATTCTTGACAACCATGAGAGCCGTTACGATGTTCGTGTGCTGAATATGTGTAAAGATAATGGGATTATTTTATTAACATTGCCGCCCCACTGCAGCCATAAATTACAACCGCTGGACGTGAGCTGCTTCTTTCCATTTAAAAGCTATTATAATCAAGGAGTTGACGACTGGATGCTAAATCATCCTGCCGTACCTATGACCATTTATGATGTTTGTAGTGTTGTTGGTACTGCCTACCCTAAAGCATTTACTCCTGTCAACATTCTCAACGGATTTAAAAAAACAGGCATAGCACCCCTGAATTCCCAATTTTTTTCAGATAGTGATTTTATGTCATCTTATGTTACTGATAGGCCCGAAGAAAATGAAAATGGAAATGGTGACGAAAATAATGCTAACGAAGGTGTTCAGGATATGAAAGATGTTCAGGATGTAGAAGATGTTCAGGATGTAGAAAATAATCAGGATGTAGAAGAACCACGACATGTCAGCCCAATCCCTGGCCCATCCAATATAATAACCCCTCAGCAAATCAGGCCACATGCCAAAGCTGCTCCTAGGAAAAACCTTAAGAGAAGCAGAAAGAAGCTACAGTCATCAATAATAACAGATACCCCCGTGAAAGATGCCATAGAGGAACAACATAAAGAAAGATTGGCTAAAAAAGCACTTTCAGAAGAGAAAAAGCAGAAGGCTAAAAAAGTTAAACGTCAAGTTTTTAATGACGACATTAGTTCGAACAGTGATGTTAGTGAAGAGATTTGCAACGATTCTAGCGATTTAGAAAGCTTCACATCAGAATATCAAGATTTGTCTATTCAAGAGCAGGACTATGTTATAGTAAGATACATGACAAAAAAAACTGTTAAACATTATGTTGGTCAGGTTATTAAGATAAGTGGAGATGAATATAACATCTCCTTTATGAAGAGAATTGTGGCCGGCAAATTTGTTTTCCCTGACAAACCCGATGAAGATACCTTAGTAGCAGAAGATATTTTACTAAAGCTGCCCCCTCCCACCATTAGTGGAAGTACAGCTAGGGCTGCTCGCCAGTTTATGTTCCCTGTGAATTTTTTCCAATTTAAAATTGACTAGAAGTGTTTTTTATTAGAAATCCCACTATGGACCACTATGATTCCCACAATGAACCATGTAGTGGTTCATAGTGGGACTAGTGGTCCATAGTGGGACTTGTTGAATAACATTTATTATAAATAAAGGATTACTTGAAACTATTATTAGTTTGCTTCCTTACATCCATACCTATGTATAGGTACGCTTGTCATAATTTATAAACGCTCAATAAAGGTGCTATAAATTTTTGAAAAAAACCGTCCCACTATGGACCAGTTTTCCCTACACCACAGTATCTCTGTGGCCGAAAAAAATAGGCTTTAGGAGGAAAAAAAACGCGAACTAGGTACACCAGAAATTAGAAAATTGATAAAATTCTAATTTTATCTCAATTCAATTTCAACGTTTGTTATGTAAACAAAAGCATATTATGCAAATGGCTTGCGCTGATTATCGCCACTTTGTTAAGGGAGGAATAAGCCTAGAAATTTCTGGGCTTAGTTAAGCTTATCTTAATGAGACTAGGTGAGACTGGTGGAAACAAAATTATAATATAAGCGGCACTTAACGTTAAGTAAACTTAAATTTGCGTTGGTGGAAACGGCCATAAGTGTCTTAAAAAATTAAAAACTGGCGAAAATCACAACCACAACTTTTTCGGTTTTTATTTTTTATTGGACACTTCAGTAATGTATCACTTCCAGAATCTTCCTGGGTTATCTCTCAGAAAATCCATATTTTTTTCCATAACCGCATTGTTGGAAAGCCGGTCATTAGAAATTTATGAGAATCCGGCCTCTATAGTTAAAAGTAGGCCTAACCGCGATTCGATAGTTTTATGGCTGAGATTTTATGGATAACTTAACTCTAACTCGATGTTGTGCAAGGCCACATAACATCAGACGGCGCCTTTAATTTTAAAATTGGCCAACTTTTCCTGTCTGATTATATTAATGACGCCGAGAAAAAACTAAAATCCTTTACTTAAAGTAAATGGAAAATTATTGAATGAAAAGGAACAAAATTTATTGGTCTAATTTAAAACGTCTTTTGAAAAACAAATATAGCTTTAATTAATTTCAATATTCTCTTTTGGAGCACTACAAGTATCATACGCGCTCGAAGACAAAATTCTGTTAAGCTAAAATAGATAAATATACTTTAACATTGTCGCATTCTTATGACTTCGATCCTATCATAAAGGAAGTAAATAAACTTCAAGTGACTGACAACGTAAAGACTCACGCAGAATACAAATAGTTGAAACCAGCAACTACAATCAAAATATTTATTTGTCACTCATGTGTAAAACGTCACTTATCAAGTCAAAACATAAACAACGGAAATTGATTTTTACAAGCTACTGGCTCTACTGACTTGTAAAATTGACAACTAAACTGTAATAGTATATTATAATCTGAGACGGGAAATGCTTCATTGCTGATCGAGAGGTTATATAGTTTATAGAGACGCGTAGCGTCGAAATAAACTGAACCTCGAGACAGCAATGAAGTTTCCCGTCGAGGTTTGTATACTATTTTATTTTTAACCATAATTTCTTGAAAAAAAAATAAATTAATTCGTGACAACCAAATAAATGAGGTCAGGAAATGAGGACGGGGAATGAGGTCGGGAAATATATTTCTGCTCCATTTTCCGTCCGTGGACGGGAAATGAGGACGGAAAAAATTTCCCGTCCTCATTTCCCGTCCTCGTTTCCCGTCCTGGGACAGGTAATGGACCAGGAAAATGAAAAGACAGAAATGTGACATTTTCAAATTTTTGGAAAGTCAGTATGACAACATTTCATATATGGTTAAAAATAATAGTTATTTATGCACCTAGGTCAAAAAGTACAGCTTTAGCGCCCGCAGCGTGTTAACTGTTTACACGCTGAGGGCGTTAAAGCTCTTTTTGACTGAGGTGCATACAAGATTTTATGCACGATGAGCATGTTTTCATTTTGCTAATCAAAAAATTATATATTTTCAATTTTGTAATGACATCAATCAAAAATATTTCAAAATATAAAATTTCATCTTTACCGCATAATAGGTCGTGAGTTTTTGTCAAATTTAGATCAAGGAAGCAGTTGTTGACAAAAGTATCACGTAACCACAAAACATCCCCCCTTAGAAATGTAAGTCTTATGAGAGACGTCAGTCTAGTCGTTTCAGCTTTCCCCTCCAATCACTAGAGGCGCTTCAATCAACCTATTAAAGTTTTCTTTTTCCTGCCGGACCGTGCGCCAAGATTTGAAGTTTATTTTGTCATTTCCAGTGGTCAAAATTTAAATTTTGAACTTCTCCCAACATTTAGAATTATCAATTACCTATCAATTATCAATAATTATTATCTCAAAATGTCTTCTCCCAGTTTGTTCATTGAAAAGCATCAGAAATGCTGTGTTCCGGGGTGCGGCGACAAATACAGCAGCTATTTCCGGTTTCCAAAAGATGCCGAAAAAATGAAACAATGGCTAGAAAAAGTTCGCAATCCTTTACTACATAGCCTAAGTGTCGAGAAGGCTTATAATAATTATAGAGTGTGAACAAGACATTTTCCTCGAGAATTTATTGTTGGCGATCCAAAAGCCAGACGAGGACTCACATGGAATGCTGCGCTTTTGCTGTATCTCCCTGAAGGTAAGTTAATACTAGATATATGTGAGAAAGACGTACTTACATTTTCACTTACTCCTCCCCATAGTTCTGATTAACGACAACGTGTTAGAATTCGGGTTTAAAGGAGCATAGGTTAGAAACATTAAAATTAATTTTAATTTTAGCCCCAATTATCAAAAACAGCGAGGAGTCGTTAATTGATAAACCACAATCACCATAATGGCAAAAAGTGGAGATCGACTCAGTTGAAACTCGTCGAAGAGTCCTAAGACGCCTTCAGAAATTAGTTTCGCGACTATGATTGACATAGGTAGGTAAACATAATAACTCTGTTCCAACACGTCAAAAAATCGTCCCATGAACGGTTTCGAAACCACTCAGTATAACAATTTTAGTTTCTGCGCAGAATCGTGACGGTACATTGTACGGTTTTCTGCAGTGTTGGAACAAAGCTAATATTATTCATTTCTTTTTTTTTAATGTTTATTTCTTTATCAGGAGACACAATAATTAAAATATTCCTGGTTACATACAGGTACACCATATTCTACAATGCATGTATCCAAACTTTTTTGGTAGAATCATTGGTAACGAAATTTCTGTTCTAGATCAACCAGGCCCTTCATGTCGTCAATTTTTATCTACTGAAACTTCTGCAATTCGGGCAGACATTGCTACACCAAGTGGAACCATCACATCTGCAAACATGAAAAAGTCACCAACCAACTTTGTCTCTTAAA